TGAATATTTTTACACTTTTTAACAAGTGCAGCAAAAGTATCAAATGAGTCACCTGCAAGTTTTTCAGAGATGTTATCATGTAATCCTCTATGAAATTTAAAAATCAAGTCATCCTCTGTAGGTGGAGCTCTCTGGAAATGAGAGTATTTGGCCAGCTTATTGAACTTATTCAAGTATTCATCAATAGACATCTGACCCTGCTTTAGTTCTTCAAATTCACCCTTCTTCCTTATCCGGGCTTCAGCCGGAAAGTATTTCAGCAAGAATTGCCTTTCAAATAAAGGCCAGGTAATAGCATAACCCTGACATTCCAAGGGCAGACGGGTATTTCTCCACCAATCAGCTGCATCATTCTGCAACATATAAGAAGCATACAACAATTTCTGCTGATCATCACACTCCATGACAGTAAAAATGCGATCCAATTCTTCTAACCACTGAATTGCAGCAATAGGATCAATGCCTCCTTTATAATTTGGTGGTGCATGTTTTCGGAAGGCATTTAGCATTCTTTCTCTTTGCTCTCTATTAGTGGCTGGCTGTGCCACACCACCCCTGTGACTAGATTCTTCATTCACATCATTATTTCCTTCACCCTCCACAACAATGGGATTATGAGGAGGAGGAACAGGCTGTTGTGGTTGTGGCTCAGGCTGTGGCTGTGGTTGTGGCTGTTGCAAAGGCTGTGGCTGTGGACCTTGCCCACCCGCCCTCACCTCAACCAAGAGTAATCTCATCATTTCAATATTCGCCATTCTGCTTGCTGCCATCATTTCTTGATTGGCCAACCTATTAGCCTCTAACAGATCTTGATTTGCTTTCATCATCACTTCTAGCTCTCGCTGCCTAGCTGCAGCCATATTTTGTTGCATCTCAGTTAAGGCCATTATCATTGGATCTGGCTGTGAAGTATTTCCCCGCTGGTTTAGTCGGGGTCTTGCCAAATCTGCTAATATTGGATCGGTCGGGTCAATAGGAGGATCAGAAGTCCTTCTTGGGCGAACCATAATTCTGCATATTTCACACAAAGGAATGAGTTAGCTACGCTCACACTCGGTGATCAGACATGCATATCATAGTATTCCAAGAAAAACTCAAGAATATAACAACCCGAACAGTTCATGCAATATTTCACAGGCTCTCCTAGAGAAACTGCTCTGATACCATAAATGTAACATCCCCGTCTCGAGCCGGTTCAATTAACATACATATGATAAAACAGAAAACAGCGGAAGACTTAACTTACGAAAATACGAGTTAACTTTTTCTTTTTCTACTTTAACTCTTACTCGGGGTAAACGAAAATCGGGCAGAGTTTCCTCTATAAATCGGACAACTGGGGATTTTCCAATCCCACTCAGAAGCATTTCCTGATAAACAGTTTATACAGCATAGTAATCCAGAAGTACCAGTCATGCAGATACCATCAGATACCCATCCATGGGCGCATGCAAAATATGGCTCCGTGCCACTATCCTAATCAACATGCAATCCAATACAAAATCATAAACTGAATAATACATCATCATATAACGTGCCTGAATACCCAAATGTACATGCATCCAAGTGACAGACATGTACAAAACATATACAGGCCATATACAAAATAAAGGATCAATATCGTGATCCATCAAATGCGGAAATACTAAAAGACATCAAACACTCCAAAAGGTAGTAGCCTACAGCCACTCAAAATCCGATCTGTCAACTGCCTCAGCCACGTGTCGTGTCCCTGCCTAGTGAGGACTCACCGGGAATCTGGGCACCTGAAAATATGTCCCCAAAGAGGGGTGAGATTACAAATCTCAATAAGCTCCAGGTTTATAGAGAATTCTCCATACCCCTGGCTCACTCCTGCACGAAAGTCAGATACAGAGTATACGAATACAACATATAACAGATATCATAACAGAACAGAGGATTTATCCATATCATATCAGAGGTGTGCGTCGTCATTCCCAAGGGAGGACCCCAAGCGGAAATCAACGCACGTGTTCCCGAGGGAGGACCCCAAAGCGGAACCAGACATATCAGAGGCGTACACCATCCGTCCCGAGGGAGGACCCCAAAGCGGACATCCGGGTACTATACAATCAATGGCCAGAGATTGTTACAGAAATCATATTACAGAAGTCATATCAGAGCAAAACATATCATGTTATCAAATAACTCTATATGAATGCATCTAAACAAAGCATCTAAATCACAGTCATACAGTCCAACCATAGTTCACTAACCATGGTGGAGCACTCAAGCAGGAAAAGACTCCTTAAACATAGAGCTTACCTCTTGAAGCTTTACCAATACGCTTACTTGTGGAACAAGTTACTTTTATCGCTTCAAGAGATTTCCGATCCTTCTCAATCCCTAGGCACACCTAGAGAATAATTTACAATGCATCAATAAAATGATGCAATACCATGATTATTTCATAAGCATACATTTTATCGCTTATTTTCCTTTCTTTATATTTTTGCCAATTCTATGCCAATACACAAGTCTAGACCTCTATACACCCGTTGGCGTTCTTTAATTTAATCAAGCATTTACTTAAGAATTTTTCACATAAATCATGCTATTTTTCTTTAAAAGTCGCGGCATATCCTTAGGGACTCAAGGTATTTTTCAACCATTTGTCAAAGCATTTCACTTCTTAGCTCATCCATTGGTATATTAAAATGCAACACATTTTATTAGAATAAAATGTAACCAATATATATATACCCCTAAACATCCTATAGTTCGAAACATAGAGCAAGTATTTGTAGGATTTTTTTCCAACTTTGACATTTCCACCAATTCATCCATTTACACTACATTCCAACAAATTTTACCTTTTCAAACATACAATAAAATTTTGCATGATGAACCCTACATAACCCATGAAGGCCGAAACCTAGGGGAAAGGTGCACAAGGGCTTTTCAATTTTTTTATCACAAGTTGATGCTTACTAACACTATCCTTCCTAACCAACAACAATCCATCATAATTTTCACCTACTTGCACACATAAAACCCCTCTCAAATACATCAATTATAATTTGCACAATAACTCTTATTACCCTATCAAGGCCGAACATAAGGAGGGAAAACATATGATTTTTCTCTACTTTTAACATGCATTAAAATGCTCCTTTTCATTACTTACATCCAAGGTACCAAGGATTCATCAACAAATCAATTTTTAACTCATAATACTCTCCCATCAAAACATATCTATCAATTTGTAACTTAAAATAATCAAGACAACATCATGAGAATAGAGGTTTGTTACCTCCAACAACTACCCCAAAGCCTAGAAGTCCTTTACCAAAAGGATCTCCACCAAAAACTTCATTTTTGCCCTCTTGATGAATAGTGCACGAATTTGAAGGAGAGGATAACTCTTCACACACTCAACAAAACCTCAAATTGATGGTTGGAATGGGTTCATTGGGTGTTTTACAAGCAATTTCACGTGGTGGGTCTTTGAATTTGGAGTAGAAATGATGGAGAATCAAGGAGAAGAAATTCAAAACCCTACCCCCCTTCTCCAATGGTGCAGCTCGGTTTTGAGAGGGTGAGAGGAGAGAGAAACTGATTTGGGATAATGAGACTAAGTCACTTATAAGGCTAGCACATGTGGCCTTTTTTAATAGATATTTTTCTATCGCGTATTTTAACTTAAATTGACCCGGAACTAACTTAAAACTACGAACATATTTTTATTTTTCTAAAATCATTTACATTAATTTTTATTTGTTACAAAACAATATTCATAATTCACAGTATGGTTTCTGCACCGTTTTTGACGAAATGCACTGTGAATCACTAACTGTACTTCGCTCACTTCTGAACTTAGAACTTATAAACTTATTATTTTCTTTGGCTTATATTGACTTGCTTGGCATATATTGGACTTTCTTATTCTTATTTCATCAAGTATTTATTTCTGGACTCTACCGGTTGCTTAAACAGCAGTACAAAATACCCGGTAGAAACACTATTCACGAGATTTTCACGGAAAGTGCCAGACTGTACAATTTTTCGTTCTGAACTCATATTTGTCGTCAGAATTATCAAATTATGTCTCTAAAATTATTTTGCTATTTTTAAGCTCTACCGGTTAATTCACAAAACTGTAAATTCTCCGGCAGAACGCACTGTTCATAACATAGTCATGATTACAGTCAAAATACTCGGAATCACTCACTAAATCTAATTATGGCATTTAAATCCTTAGATTAAATCTCTAATTAAGATTTACCATTTAGGGTCATTATAGTTAATAAGTGGAATGATTTCTTGTTGTTTCTTCATTAGCTTACTGCTGTACGGGAGTACTAAGAATGAAATTAGAATGTTTCAACATCACGGTAGGCATGATATAGAGTAAAAAGTAGTATACAGAAGATAATGTGTTAGGGAAAAGTGAGTGTTCTCTCTTTGTATAGGGTGTCTATTAATTATAAAACTTCTACATTGTGTCTGATATGGATCATAGGAGTAGGATCAACGTTAAAGATTGTTTGTTCTCTGTGGCACATTTCTATCCCCATGTAATAAAATGTTTTTCTTTTAAGCTTATTACATTATATAGTTAAAAATTTATAATCATCAAGACTTTTCATATCTATCTATGCAGTAATTTTGCTAAAATAGATAGTGTTTTGTTTTTAAAAGTAAATGCATATTGTTATTTATCAATGGGAAGCCTTGCAACATATAATCTATGAAATTCTAAAGAACTTTTTTTGTCTAAATTATTTTTATTGATTCATTCTCAGTGTTACTTGTTCTTTACTAGATTAAATTTAGCTAGCCAGATAACTGTTGCTTAATATTTGCTTTTACCTTAATAAACTCATCCAGAGAGAACAAAAACTTAACAGGGACTGTACGTTATGCAAGCTGCAATACTCACTCAGGAATTGGTGAGTAGAAAGAATGTTGTCTTGTTATGCTCTATAGACTGTAACCTTCAATTTTCACTCAGTTTTGTTTTGACTTCTTCAGAACAAAGTCGTCGAGATGATTTGGAGTCTCTTGGCTATGTTCTTATGTACTTTTTAAGAGGAAGGTATGTCTCATCCTACTGACCATAATTTTACCAGGGCTCTTGATTTCATAAAAAAGTTGCTTGTGAGTATCAGTTGCTCAGGTTTTTTCAGGTAATATAGGGCTTGACTATTTGGTTCTTGCATTTTAGCCTTCCTTGGCAGGGTCTGCAAGCAGCCACCAAAAAGCAAAAATATGATAAAATTTCCGAAACAAAGTTATCAACTCCAATTGAGGTGTGTGCATCAATTTTTTCCCGTTACTTGTACTGTTTCTGTTGCCTTAATTTATTTGAACAATTTTATGCTGCATCTATGGTCTAAAAATTAGCTTAGAAACTGGAATGGTTTGATTGGGTTGGGGGTAAACGTTCCTTTCCCAACTTGCTCTTTTATAATTTAATTTATTTATTTGGGTTAAGAGTGAGAGGCAAGCCCAAAGTGTGGGTGAAGCCAAGAGTAGCAAATGCAATTAGAATTATGCAAAACTGGAAGATCAGCTGCTCTCCCAAACTTAGGTTTCTGAAGACTTGAATCCTTGACCAAATAATCAAATCATAAGCTTCTTAAGGAATGCTATCACAGGAATAATTTTCTTATTGAAGTTTTTTCATTATTCATAGAATTTTACTGACTACATAATTTTTGTTTTTAGATACTTTGCAAGTCATATCCTGTGGAGTTTGCTTCTTACTTCCACTATTGCCATTCTTTGGAATTTGATCAACGGCCAGATTATGGATTTTTGAAGCGCCTGTTTCGTAATTTGTTCACTAGGGAAGGTATTGACTGTTTGTTTTATCCTATGCACTTATGCAGGCCATGGCTTGTTGAAGATGTCAATTTGCATGTTGATTGATTATTTTGGTCCCATTAGCGTTAACTGTAGAAGTATGTTAGTATATAGTGAACTTCAACTTCACTGTTGTGGGACTTTTTACGTCTGAGACAGAGAAGTGATTGTGCTGTTCAGGCTTTGATAGTTGGGGGCTGTAAAAAGATCTACTAATCAACTAATAAAGATTTAGAAGTTTCATATTGAGTATTGACTTTCCTAGGTTTTGTGTCAAGGATTTCTATTTTGACGCAACTATTTTCAATTGATTGCAAAAGCTGCAGTGGAGATCAGATATGCTTGAGTATAAAACCATCTTATATCATATTAATTTTGCTGGTTTTATTGTGTTTCACTCTTTATTCATTAGCCAAAAGCATAAAATCTGGAGTGAAGGTTGTCCAAATTTTATGCATCGCTTGGTTTAATTCTTAATGTTTGTTGGTATTTGAGAACAAATAATTCCAAACATGCATTACTGTGTTTTTGGACTTCGTTTATTATATTCTGTTGATCTCATCTGTATTATATTTATCTTCCCTGTTAATGTACTAAAATCTTGTTTGGCAGGATACAATTCTGACAATTTATTTGACTGGACCATTCTAAAATATCAGCAGATGCAACAGACAAAGACACAATGTAGTCAATCAACTGTTAGTAATTCCTTGGCCTGGTTTTAATAGCCAATTTTAATATATTGCCTACTATATTTGTATCCAGTCTTTTGCCCCCTTTTCGTGGTTGAAAGTTTTCATCAGAGCTGCTCTAGCCTCCTCTCTCCATTGTGACAGATCACTTTTATTTCATTTTTCTTAACTTTCAATTATTGTCTCCTTGATTTCATTTACTCGAATTTGAAATGTTGTATAGCTTTTTTGATAGCTTATGTATAAAATTTGTACTAATTTTATTTAATTTATAACTTGAGTATCTGACGATTTGCAGGCTCCAGTTGCTGTGCCTAGCAGTCTTGAACCAGTGGATGTGGATAAGCAGAAAGGTACTTCAGTCTTGTATCATGTAGTTGAAGAATCAAGTCTTATAATTGGGAGATTTTCCCAAGAAAAATAGTGTTCTCCTAAGTTATATGATTTCCGCACTGAGACCAGTATTTCCCAGCAAAATGAGTTCAGAACTTAAGGATTGAAAAAATAATTACTGCTCTATAGTTGATGTGGATTATTTTTTTTAATGACTTATGCTGTCTGAATCAGAAAATTTATAATAGCCTCTGATATGCTAAGCTAGTGGTCAATATGGACAGGTGTTAGGAAGTGAAAATATAAAGAGGGAAAAGGTGGGGCAGAGAAGGTAGGCTTTTGGTGAGTGGATTTGGGACACATTTGGTGTATTGGGAGAAAACTGACTTCTCAAATTTCCAGTGTTGTATTTGCTTTCCTTATTACATTGCATTTTCCATTGTTCCATTGTACTATGTTTCTAGAAATTATTAATACAGTCTTAGATTTATCTCTCTCTTTAGTTCTCTTTTCTGATACTTATCACAGTTCCAGACTGAGATTCTTTACAAGATTTGCAGTATTATGAAGGAATGCTGTTGTTCTACAGAACACATCCTGATGCCATAATTTCCTTTTTCAGGAGTCAATGATTCCACTCAAATTGCTGTGGCAAGACCATCGGTCAATATTGATCGTCCACGTGTTAGTACGAAGATCAGGGCATCAAATGATCAGAATCTTAATGCCAAGGTTCAGCCAGAGAAACATGTAAACCTTCTGACGTACATTCCACCATTGCTTTCTTGCCTCTATCCATTTTTCATAAATAAAAGAAGTAAACTAACATTTTTGGTTCCTGGAAATGTACTTCTCTCAAAACTTTAGTCCCTTATTTAAGTTGATGTATGATTCATTGCTTAAATTATTCAAACTCATTTCACGTTGCCCATTTTGCTTTCTCTGGTAGGGAGTAACATGGAATGTTTGAATAGTTTAAGAATAATCATCATACACATTATTTATTCAAGGACTAAAATGCGAGTAAAATACATTTCCACAGACCAAAAATACTATTTTACTAAAAAAAAAATGAGTATCTCCCCATGTATTTTTAAGATGCATTGTTCTTCACTGCATGCTACATTTGTTAACTTAGTTATACTGATCGTTAGGTTGGATTTGTATTTGTCTGAAGTAATTCATTTTATTGGGATAAAATTTTTTGCAGACTGTTAACAATGGTTCATCTGTTTCGACTGCAATGCCGAGAGCCTATACAGAAAAAGTCTCAAAACCAGATAGGCATGTAGGAATCTCGAACCAGGGTCTTGTATTTGGGAGTAAAACTGGTGCCTCAAACAGCTTTGTTCCTTCACTACGCCGTGTTTCATCAACCAAACAGTAGGTAAGGGAAAATGCTTATCTATTTGTTTAATTAACTTTAACTCTTGATTTTTATTACTATTCTTTCTTGGATATTGATTTGCAGTCTTATTCTATCAATAATACTAAACTGTAGAATGTTTTACCGAGCCAGTTACTTGGTTTGTTTCTCAGACACGGATTTTGAAGGAGTCACTTGCATTTTTTTTAAGCTGTTGCAAATGTCATGGCACTCTCTTTGTCAGAGGAACAATAGAATGTCATACAAGGAAGACGCCATAACAATCTTCCTGAGTATGACACGATCCTATCAAATGTATTTGTGGATATATCATGATATGTGAGGTAAATGCCCCCATTCAAGACTTGGAAGGAAGCAAAGTAATGGCTTTGGACAAAATTGAAGAACAATGCATGATGGTAGCTGTTCATTGGCATCATTGCACAAGGCTCAGGACTATCGGTGTAAATGGATTAAGCCGGGCCTATACTCTAGCCTATATTAGGCCAGACTTGACCTATTATAAATAGTTAAATAAAATAGGTCTAGACTTTTAAAAAAAAGCTATTTAAAAAGAAGGCCATAGCTTTTTTTGTACATGTCGGGCCTATAAACCTACAGGCAGGCCTATATTATATTATTTACTTTAAATAAAATAAATAAAATTATTATTTTAATAATTTTGAATAATAAAATAATATTATTTAGTTATTTTTTTAATTATTGAATGTTTGAACAAGCTAACAGGTATAGACCAAAACTTTTATTTTTTAAATATAAGTTAATTCAGACTTATAATTTGGACCTACACAGGCTAATAAGTCAAGTCAGACTTAAGTTTTCTCACATAAGCCTGGCCTATTTAAGCCAAAGTTTAGTCTATTTACACTCCTACTAAGGACTATTGGCATAGAACTTCAATGTGAGTGGAAAAGTAGCCATGTGAGGATGGGGGGTTTGCATTTTATCTGCATTTATGATGAATCAAACATGCATGGGTGAGGGGGTGCCACAATCCTTCTCATGGTCACAGTCATCAATTATTCAACTTCTGTTTTTCTTTGAAACATTTGCTACACAAATTTGGTTGCCTCTTCTTTAGTGCAGTTCGAATTGTTGGTATACAAATATAGTCACATTTTATCCCTTCCTCTGACAAGTAAATTGATTGAAAATCAATCAAAATCATAGTTAATTAAACCGAATTGAATTGATATTTTGTTTATGTTGAATTTGGTGTTAGAATCCAACCTGGAATGATCATTTGTGTACTTCGGTTATCCATGATGAGAATGCCCTCCCATGGAAGAATCATCTAATTCCTTGAGAATTTGTTGAATGAGTGGGAGAAGTCTTGGACAAGCCAAGCCTTCCATTATATAGCAATGATCAATATTAACCATGATGACAGCACCTCTTAATTTGGGGTACTCTTATCTCCTCAATTAAATCATCCATACCGAACCTTTCCGCATGACGAAATAGTACATTTGTCTAGATACAGTATCAGCTTCTTTATTCTCCCTCCGAATTTATTGTATTTCAAAATTGAATCAAATCAACTTTCATTTTTGTTGATCTTCTCCAAATAATTAATTGTTATCGTATTTAAATCTATTTCCTATTCAATTTTTAAATTTTATTTCTATTCTTCCTATTTTATTTATTTATTATAGAAGGATATACTTACAATTTCTTATAATCATTTTTTATTATCGTTGGATCACAATCAAAATCAACAATCACAATGTGACATTAAATAAGAGTCTTTGATTTGATTTTAATATAATGAAAATGATAAGGCCAGTTCAATATGGATTGAGTTAAATCATACACGACTGATGGATTGAAAACTTTGGGTCGTAAGTGGGCTTGAGAAGATTTCTGTATGTATGAAGGCCGTTGAATAATCCAGGTGCAATAGAAATGACATGGGGGTACCTGCAAAGACACTCTGACGCTCAAGTCAGTATTAATGCTAGGTTTATGTTGTATTCAATGGGAATAAGATAATCATAACTAGGTTTGAACCCTTTGTATTTATAGCAAGTTTTATGCCGCCTACCAAAGGCGGCATACCTTCTTATTAGTTGTTGTGCGCTGCAGCCTTTCTGTCTCAGCTGGTGCCTTTCTGTCTTAGCTGGTACCTTTCTGGCTATTTTCTTGGTGAACAAGTCTATATACTGGCCTGTCTCCATAGAGTGGTGGCAAGCTGGAGCTGTCTTCCTTGCGTTGATCTTTTTGTGTAGTGGAACTCAACTTGTTGCGAAGCCTTTCCTTAGCCTTTAAGTTATAAGGCGGCTTAATATTATAACTTGCGTAATGTTTGGCTCACGCATCTCGCCTTATGAGATCATTGCGCCTTTTGGGCCTTTTCTGGGCTTTCAATCTTATGGGCCTTCCAATTATCCAGATCAAAAAACAAAATGGTTGTAAAATATTATAAGAAAATAATAATAATAAGTATAACCTACCTCTTTATTATATATTTGTATCTAAATTAATTTCATACATATTTAAAATTGACTACAAAATAAAACCTATTTTATTATATTTGAATATACATTTTATTCAAATTTTAAATTCTAATTCTAATTTTCTTACCTTATTCAATTATTATATATTTGTATGATATATCTAAAGTTATTTTTTTATTGTGTTTCTATTATGGAATAGTTAAATGGTCCCAACTTCTTCTACCTATTACATGACATGCACTAATCATCTCTTTCCACCACTCTCTCTCAACTTCTTTCTAATGCACATAACCACTCAATAAGCATTGCATCACATCACTAATTACCTACTAAACCACTTATTATGTGCACAATCTCTTTAACTACTAGTGCATTTCACGTATATATGGTCCCCTATAGCAAAGGAGGCAATAAATTCTTCATTATTTATAAAACCTACCACCATGGTTACAACATTCACACCAATATCCAAAGCACATTTTATCCACTGCGCAGGTGAACCCCCTACAATGTGACACCATTGAACTATTGGTCATTGCTAGCTATCCTAGCATTATTTCCGTGGATTCAGCTCATTAACTAAATATTTTTGTTGATCCATGAATAGTTTCTCAATCCTATGATTCAACCTAACAATTCACGATTTAAGTTGAAATTTGATAACATTGATTGTAACTACAGCTGGCTGGTTTCAAATTTTAGGACCTCTTCTTTGGCGAACTTACAACTCCCTCTCCTGATATAGCATGGGAGGAAGAGGTTGTGGAACAATATTAGCCAAGATGGTCTTCTTCAACAAGGATACATGCAAGGGCAGAAAAATTAAAATATTACTATTTTAATAACAAATTATGAATAGATAATAATTTAAAATCAATTTATGAATCTATTGCACTCAGTCACGTCCAAAATGGGCATGACCACTCGCGCCTAAATTAGGCGCAATAGGGTGCAAATCGTGCCCAATTTAGGCGCAACTCATCCGATGCTAACAGTTTGACCGTAAAACTTCGGAAGGCCATAACTTTTGACTCGGGCGCCCGAATCAGGTAATTTATTTTTGTTCCACATAACTTTTCGAGATCTACGCAATGACATCTTATTGAAATGGATTTGGTCAAAAAAGATTGGTGGAGGAAATAGAAGTCACAAATGAAAAAGATTGGAGGTGAGGAGGAATTACCTGGCATCAACTTACATGCTATGGATGGGCGGTATTCTTCTAATACACTGAGGTTGAAGGGAACCATCAACAAGCTTCCGATACAAGTCTTAGTAGATGGAGGATCTACCCATAATTTTGTGCAAGAGAGGATGGTTAAATTTTTGGGGTTGGAGGTGAAACCCATTGTTCAGTTTAAGGTGTTAGTAGGGAATGATGCGAGTTTGGGGTGTAAGGGAGTTTGTCAACAAGTTGGGTTGGAATTACAAGGACACAAATTTTTTCCAGATCTTTTTGTCCTTCCTATCCAAGGGCCAGAGGTGGTACTTGGTGTGCAGTGGTTATTAGAATTCGGGGATGTGACTACCAATTATAATCAGTTGGTCCTAAAATTTGCAAGAGAAAGGAGGATGATTGAATTGCATAGAGAACCAAGAGTGCAGGTAGAACCCATTGAATTGCACCAGCTGCGTCGGCTAAACAACTCGAATGTTGTAGCTACTTATTTTCAATTGCAAACTATTAACACAAATTTCCACAGGAGCCATACACTGAAGTGAGATGTCATCCATTGATACAGCCAGTATTGCAGGAGTATGGAGATGTTTTTGATACACCCTAGCAGCTACCCCCCACAGGGTTGGAGGACCACCGAATCCACCTTGAACCTGGCACTCAAGCAGTAAACGTTAGACCATACAGGTATCCTTATTTTCAAAAATCTGAAATTGAAAAAATGGTGAAAGAAATGCTAGATACAGGGGTTATTAGGCTGAGCTTGAGCCCCTTTTCATCTCCAGCCTTACTAGTAAAAAAGAAAGATGGCACATGGAGGTTCTGTGTAGATTATCGAGCCCTTAATCAAGTCACTATCCCAAATCGGTTTCCAATCCCTACAATGGACGAGATGTTGGATGAATTAACAGGAGCAATGATCTTTTTCAAAATGGATCTACGTTCTGGGTACCATCAAATCAGAATGGCTCCGGAAGATATTTACAAAACTGCCTTTAGGACACATTAAGGACACTATGAGTTCGTGGTGATGCCCTTTGGGCTAACAAATGCACCGGCAACCTTTCAGGGTATTATGAACTCAGTTCTGAAAGAGTTCCTACGCAAATTTGTCATTGTGTTCTTTGATGACATACTGATATATAGTAAGTCAGTTTTGGAACATGTGGGATACCTAAGGAAGGTCATGGAGTGCCTTAGGCAGCACCAGTTGTATGCCAAGAGGTCAAAATGCTCATTTGCTCGTGAGGAGGTGGAATACATGGGTCACATGGTGGATGCAAAAGGAGTACGGCCAGATATGGGGAAAATCAAGGTAATAATGGAGTGGAGCAAACCAACCACCATTAAATAGCTGTGGGGGTTCTTGGGTTTGGCTAGATATTACCGCAAATTTGTTTGCGGGTTTTCTCAAATTGCAGCTCCATTAACAGCTTACTACACAAGGATGCCTTTGTTTGGAATGATAGAGCTGAGCACGCCATGTTAGAATTAAAGACAGCCTTATCAAACCCACCAGTTTTGGCACTTCCAGATTTCACTAAGAAATTCATTTTGACTACAGATGCTTCTGGAATCGGAGTGGGGGCAGTGTTGAGCCAAGGTGATCGACCCATAGCCTACTTTAGTAAGAAACTCAACCCTAAGATGCAACAGGCTTCCACCTATGTGAGGGAAATGTTTGCAATTACGGAAGGAGTTTCTAAGTGGAGGCAGTATCTCCTAGGGGGACCATTTGTTATTAGGACTGATCAGAGGAGCATAAAAGATATGATGGGGCAGGTTATACAAACCCCTGAACAGCAACGCTTCTTAGTCAAACTACTTGGTTTTGACTACACCATAGAGTACTACCCTGGGGCTACAAACAAGGCAGCCGATGCCTTATCTCGAAAATCAGAAACTAGGTCAACTCTACCAGC